ATATTTAGCTTTTGAATACTCTCATAATACTGACAGTATTCCTGGAATTAATCTGAATTGTTTATTAATACTGAAAGAAAAAATTGATTGCTACAACAAGTAGATAGTAAAATATGACATATATATATCGAAATCATATACATGACATTGCGGATAGATTAATGCAACTAAAAATTTACTGCTATAACCAAAAACTGGTTGCTGCAGCTGATTAAAAATGCTATGCCATATTTTACTATCTAAATTGTTGCAGCAATCAATCTTTTCTTTCAGTGTATTTTCCTTTGTAAGAAAATTGCAATAGATTTACCAGATTACGTAGAAGAACATTGCCATAAAGGTCTGCAAAATACTGCCGAAAAATGTAGCTCGTAAAAAGAAAGGATTTCAAGGGTCCAATAACGATCCACAGGTGGTTGCGAATAAATCCGCCCAAGATTACAAATAAGTTATATGGCCACCAAAGCATTTCCACGGAGGATCCGATGATCCCTTTTGAAGATTCATGTAGGACAAGAGGTCGACCCATCGTAGATAGTCGGTGCACTTTCCATGAAGATAGATCAAAGAACGCGCACAATACAAGCCACTGTACAAGGTGTCCCGATAATAACCCATCAGAACTCGGGTTTCATTAGATGGGAAGACCATGCACGTAGGGTTGGTGTAATTGTGTATGCTACAACAAGCCCCTTCGAAACTCTGCAAACTCAACGAGTAGTCCCTTTGATAGAACGCACCCTTTGCCTCGAAATTTTCCTATATTGGTATAAGGAGAGACGAGAAATTTCACTATTATCGTTATTCCGGTAAATCGCAGCTGAAGTTTAACTTCAGCTGTTAATTGCGCAATCATGCTTCAGAGAATCCCGCAGCTAATGTATAATGTTAATGCCTTTGAGTGGAGCTTCATTATATCTCCTGACGCGCGTCTTACATTAACCCTCAAATCAATAAGCAATTGCATAAGCTTCATATTATGCAAAATGAAATCATACATGATGTTTAATATTATTTAGATATCTAAGAATACAGTAAAGATAAAAATATTTAAAAATATATTTATACAATACATTAAATATATTAAATATATAAGTATAATAATTGTAAACAAATTTATTGACTACCTAAATAAAGTCAAATTAAATTCGATAAAGGAATATAAGAGCCATTTGGCTTTTATAAATATAAATAATATATTTAATATCTTTTTTAAACTTTTTAAAGTATAATTTTGTTTAAATTTTTTATAATATAATAGAATTTTGCTTAAAAAAAAAAAAGATAATTTCTTGATATTTATTTTTCAATCGCTTTCATGTTATTTGTTAAAACTGAGAAATTAGTTGATGACTTTCATGTAATAAAAATACTTTAACCTGTAGAAGCCCGGAGGCTCCTTTAGGGACTTGACACTGACGCCATCTTTTTTGCCACTCAACCTCATGACATTGACAAAAAAGTTCTAGCCCTTAAAATAAAAAAGTCAATCAAAAACATGCCAGTCTTCAGAAGATTAATATGCAATTACCTTAAATTGATTAATGTGTCAACGAATTCTAAATTTAAAAAAGAGAAGTTTTTTACTTTTTATTATTTTATCATTTTCCATGCGATCAAATTCTATGGCAAATTCAGCCACTCCATCAAGACATACATAACACTTTTAAGATCTCATTTGCTAAAGAAACGACGAAACTTGAAGAAGGGGAGCGCGCGTGTCAACCTAAAAGTTGAAAAAACAAGTTTCTTCGGGAACTAAGTACATTGTGACGAAGCCTTCACGTATGCCGCAATGAATATTGACAAGAGCTTATTTAAATATTGACCGATACGAGTTTCGTCAGTGTCGATCGAAACGAGGTCTCACGTCGTCGCGTTTCTTTTGATTCCTCCGAAGCCAAGCCATCGATTTTCGCCGCAAAGCCGTCACCCCCTTAAATACCCATCTTGCCATCATAGCGTGAAAAAGAAAGTGAGGGTTGCCGTTAATCCTCTTCCATTTCACATTGTGCTTATTGAATCGTGTAACGAGAGCGCGTTAGGGCTCGAAGTCTAAAAATAAGAGCGATGTCAATCGGGAGCTGAACCCACGCAAGAGATATTTATCAAGAACGAAACACGTGTTTGTCTATCGCTTCCTATTCGAACTTCCTGCACTTTGCGTTGATAATCTATGTACAGATCGCTCAATCTCGCACAATACTAGCTTAAATGTAAGCTCTCAAATAGGGAAAAAGAAGAGAAGAAATAAAGAAAAGACATGTGATTGATGAAGCTATAATAAATTTAACTGAATGATTGTATAACAAATAATTTTGTCAGTTTTATTAATAAATTTTTCACTACCATTTATTTCTTCTTTAATTTCCCTTTTTTCGTAATATTTTAATGCGACATTTAAAAAAATTTGAATAAAAATGAAATATGTGAAATACCACAATTTCTAGCTTATGTCCCCCAAGCTGTGCAATTACAGAGCCACACAATAATGATAATGGAGATTGTTAAAAAATATTTGTAACATTAATAAATCTCTTTTCTTCCATCCTGCTTTCACATTTCGTATTTTCCATATTGCCAAAACCCATATCGCGAAAGCCATTTCTCGTTTTCTTTGCAAAATTTGCAATTTGCGTAAATTCAATTCTACGTCTGCATTGATTTGTATGAATATATTTATCCTATCGATTGCTCGATTCTTTTTGTCATACAATTCACACTGCATTTGACAAGGTCTGTAAATGTCGCAAGTGCATGATACAACGTGCTGGGTGTATATCGCACGTGCATCATTGCAGCTGCACGTGTGTCGCGAGAAAATTTGCCATCAATAAAGCCGACCGAATCGTGAGCAACGTCGACGGCTTACAAAGTCATTCGTACATGCATTCATCGATTGTGGGATTCGCATCGACATGCGTTTTTATCAGCATCGAAAGAGCCGAAGGGCCAAATTGATTCTGATCCGCAAAGGTAGACTTTACACAAATGGTAAAATAAAATCCATCACGCATGTAATATTCGTCAGTCAGTATGGCCCCAAACCAAATATTGTCAAACGTGACAGTGACAAGCGAATTCTGGTTAGCGACAAAAAGTTACAAATATTACCCGTCGAATTAATGCATATGTATATCCTCGGGCTATATTTAACTGTGATTTATCATGAAATTTGATATATATGTTTTATATAACTTAAATAATATAATAGAGAAAAACAACATTAAAAGTACAATTTATTCATTATTCAGCCAGCGGCTGAATCTCATGTTATAATAAATCACAATTATGTTATTGAATTAGCACTCGTATAATCTTGTTTCCTTTGTAATGCTTTTTCCATATCCTTCAAGGCTTGCAAGATTCTTCTTCATCCTTCTTCTTCTCAAGTCTCTTTCCTTTAATCTCCACCTTTCCACTTTTCTCTAATCCAATATTAAACTTTCTCTTCCGACTACGCTCTTTTCTATCCGATCCCCGGCTTATAGTCACTGATCCGGCATTAAAACTCTTCTTAGCAGCCTAGTTCACGAGATCCTCATCTTGTGACACTCATAATCCATTGGTTCTTCCTCATCCTCGTTCATGAGTACGCATACGATTCTTTACAATCAAACAATATCCGCCTCATTGTGGATATTTCTTATGTTTTATGAAGACTGGAAATTATCAATCTTTTAAGAAACATCGCAAGATATTCTAAATTATTAAAATAAAAATATACTTTGTACTTTTTCTTATTAAATTTCTAAAACTGAATATTTAAATCGTTTCTTATGTTTGTAATCTACAAGAAAAAAAAAAATAATTTGAAATATTAAAATACCAAATAAAAATAAATATAAAAAAATACAGAACTATTTTTTTTGAAATCTTTATTTTTTAAAATCTGTTTTCAAAATTTTTTTAAAAACATGTACTATTGTAGTTCATTGTTTCTAATACATTACTTTAGGAATACTTTAAAGCAATATTAGAAAGCATTTGCTTATAAATAATTTCTTAATGTTTAATGTTTTTTAATATTAATAACATTAGACTCTAATTTTCTAAAAACGTGTGGAAGAGCTAACGGCAAATTAATGCAAGATCGAGAGTAATTCGAGATCTAAAACACTAAAAAAATGCTAATCGAATTGAGCTAGCTTGTAGTCTAACAGTACAACTTTATTTCTATTTTAGTTGCTAAGCTCGATCGTGGTAGTCGGCGGGACGAATGTAGCCGGCGCACTGACACATCACCCACGGGAATTGGCGCAAAGACAGGCATTTCTTGAAACCCGACAGTGTGTCGAAGCACGTCTGACCACACAACGAGAGAATCAGCAACAGGTATGCTACTGCATTTGCAGTAAATTCGTATTTGAAGCGAATTAATTGATGTCATTCAATATATAATAAGAACAAATAAATCAAAAAATTAAAAAACAACAAATAAAAACAGAATCGACAATGTTATAAAATTGTTATAATATTGAAATTAATAATTTCAATAATAAAAATTTATAAATATATATTTAATAATTATAAAAATTACTTTCAAAACATAAAAAAATAACAACAACTCTCTAATTATTTTTGCAGCCATTGCGTTTTAGAGAAAGCCTTTCAAATTGAATTTTAGAAAGAAAATTAAAAATCTCCTACGAGTGTACAAAACGAAGAGACTTCTCTCGCGCACAAGCTTCAGATATAATACTCATATATAATAAATATTGCTTGTAATATATAAGTTACTGAGAGATACGTTATTCAGCAAGTCAAAAAAATTAATAAAAAAATAGAAAGATAATACTTTCAACAGAAAAAAATCAGAACTCGTAAAAAATTAAAAAACAAAGCCGATTGTAAAAATTATCTTCTAAACATAAAAAAACAAGAACAAATTTCTTAATTTAAAATTAACAGTTGATATTAATAATAATGGGAGGTCGAAACATCTATTTCAATTTATCAATATTTTTATCATGTAGATTATTAAATTATACATTAAAAATATATATGTCATTTAAATGTTCGATTTTGTTTCAACAATTAATATATATTTTATTATCTCAATTTTAAATTATATATACTTTATTGCAACACAAGTTGTTAGTTTATTGGGTCGTAGCTCTTCATAGCATCTTATTTAATTATTTGAGCTGTTTGTTACTATTTTAATTAAATAAATCTCTTATTATTTTTACGACCATTACGTTTTACAGAAAAACTTTCAAGTTGAATTTTAAAAAGAAAATTAAAAATCTTCTACGAATGTACAAAACAAGGAGACTTTCTTGCGCACAAGCTTCAGGTATAATACTCATATATATATATATAATATTCATATATATATAATAAACATTGCTTCTAATACATAAATTATTGAGAGATATCCAACAAGTCTTAAAAAGAATTAATAAAAACAGCAAAGTAATATTCTCAACATACAGAAAAGATTAGACTTCTAGAAAATTAACTTGACATAAAAATTAAAAGACAACAATGAAACCTAGTTATCCATAAAAAAAGAAAAACAAATAGAATGGAGAGGTACAACGCAATGATTTTTTTCTCCTATATATAACTAATTGTATATATAACTAATTGCATTGTATTGAATTGCAACGTACATTTGTTTGTCATTTAACAAATATTTAATAATCTTATAATAACAAATATAACTATCTCTTTTTATTTCGATATTTTATATCTCTTTCTATAAACTATTCTTGCGGTTTTTTTTTCATAAATAATAAAGAAATATGGTCAACTTAATCTCTATATATTAATAGTAAAGGAAATTATTATATCTAGAGATGTCAAGACAGAGCGATTGAAAGATCCGTTTTAACTTTAGATCCAATAATCTTCTAATCAACATTGCCATGTCATGGAAGTAACGATCATTTCCGCGGCGTAACATTCTACCTGAATCTCGAATAATTGACGCCTTTATTAATTATTAATGACGCCATCAATGTAATAAACCGCACGTGAATGTACAAAGGGGAGTTGTGGCCTATGTTCAGAAACCACGAACATGGCTTGAATATGGCGCCTTAATTACAGTAAATAAACTAAAAATTCTTCACAGAAGATAAAAATTAAAGTTATTCTAAATTTAAATAAAAAAACTTGAAGATACTTTTAACGAGACAGGAAATTTTAATCATCTCTTTAATTATTTTAACGGCAATTTTGTATATTTTCGAAGAAGAAACTGTCACTTAATTCATATTATATAAATATAATATTAGGAAACTAACTATCACATACATTAATGAAGATTATGAAATTTGATTCTTTTCTATATTACACTATATATGTCACAATTTATTGTACAAATTTGGTAAATAAAATTTTTTGAGTTTATGAGTTGTGGTTCAAAAAATAAGAAAAATAAAGATAAAAATTTTCCGTGTCACCGTTAAAATGCACTAAATTACCGTTCTGGTCGCTTTAGATGAAGCACTTTTGCAAAATTCAGACTAAGTGAAAATCATTTGTATATATACATATAAAAAAATTTCAAATAATCATTTTTCTTAAACTGCTTGAGATCTTTTCTTTTTCACAATATAATAATATCGATAAAATTCTAATTGAAGATATTAAATAAAATCGAATTTTAAGATAGCGTGTTAAATAAAAATTATAATCATGAAATTTCGTGAATTTTTCGATTGGATTTTAGCGCTCTCAACAAACAACAATTGAAAATCTACAAAAGTGATTAAAGTAAGTACATCAGATGCTGTAGTCGCATAATAATCACGCGAATTTAATCAATTGCAAAGCTTAAAGATAAAAATGTGCCGCTCTGGATCTCAAACACGCGTATAATATCGTCGGACGCGCGATTAGAAATCTCTTGCACAAAGAATTCAGGGTATGGCGATAACGAATGATTCGATTTGGAGTTCCATTAAAAAATGCGAAAGGATTCGCTCATCAAACATTTCATTATCGTTAAACGTATATAGGTAAACGTATATAGAAAGTATTCAGAATCATTTTGCATTCTTTCATTTCTATAGATTTCCCGATAAATTTGCAATCAAGTTTTCTGCAGCAAAAATTCGAACATCGATTTTGTAGATAAACGCATAATCTTCCATACAATCATATTTGCATTTTTTTAATATCGAATTAATAATATATGTGATGGTATGACATTAAATACGTTTTTTTTAGAATTAGCAAATAACAAAAAAATTACGCTATTTTTAGATATGCAAAAAAAAAGTTTAATAATTGTATTTATATTCCTTCAATAAATGGAGGAATACAATTTTTCACATAAATTATGTATATCTCATATGCAGCATAGCAAATAAAGAGAGAGCAATGTTTTGGAGAGATTTACGTAATAAAAAAAAACTGTGCGCCAGTGAATAAAATTAAACTGCATGTCCATTTTATTGAATCCTTTATTGCCCATCTGAGTGTCGTTTTTAACACTCGGACAATATAAGTATCTATATGGCCTTTGTGGGAATTTTGTCCCGTGAGAGCATGTCAAATGATATTGCATAATTATATTGTTTTACGATATTCGCTCGCTATTCTGTCTCATTGTTTTGTTACAACTTTGGCACTGTGCATATTAAAACAAAAATCTGTGTTAAAAACGAAAAACTGGCCGAAAAACGGTGGCTGGGTGACAAAGCTTCGAGTGAATTTATTTCGCGTGAACGTGTTGTCCAATAGCCAGAAAATAATGGATGAACTATTTTGTCGAGGCACAAGGACTTTAATAAAATAGAGTGCGTCGATTATTCATCAACTATTTTTTTCAACCTACGAATATTTTCAGTCGGTCTTGTTAAAGCATTTCTACCTAACTAAAGTAAACTTTTTTTTAATAACACTTTTTTTTAATAATAATATGCTTCGAAGCAATGTTTCTCTTATTTCTGAAACAAATGAACGAATGTAATGAACAGGCAGCTCTAACTTTGTTATTACTTCATTTCACTACTACTACTATTGCTTCTTCATTTATTACTGCCTTTTCTTTACCAAACATTCTTATTTTTACTTATTCTTTTGATTCGTTACTTTAAATATTTATATAATTCGTTGAGTTGAAACAATAATGACAACTAAAAAATTATCATTTCGGAGTTGTTCATAGAAAAAAAACGATAACATAAAGAAAAAAAAGAAAGAATACGTAAAAAAAAATATATTTTCTAAAATACATAAAATCTTTGGAATCTAACTCTAAAGAGTAAAATCTCACTCTTAAAAATCAACAATTAAGCCACACTTATTAAGACTGGCTCAATTCCTTTATCATTCTTTAGAATTAAATTCTACTCCCACAGATTTTAGAAAGTACTTTTATTCTTTTATAATTAATAAATTGCACTAAATTAAAATTAATATTATAAAATTAATATATTATAAAATATTTTAATAATGTAGAGCATTCAAATTCATTTGTCAGAAAACTTTGTTTTTTAAGTTATATGTTGTAGCAAATAAGCGATATACATATTTTAGGTTTTTTTTATATATTTTTATTTATTTCGTTGTAAAATATATAATAACGTTATCTAGTATAAGCAGCAGAGTTAAATGTTTTTATGTGATATACATCAAAAGAGTTTAAAACATCACGTTTTGTGGCAAGGATCACGATTGGAAATCTCTGATTACAATTTATTTCCAGCGATGTACAAAAAAATAACGAAAACCGAAATAATCGCCGGCAGACTGCGAAGTCTATTAAAGTCCATTAAAGATAGAGTCTTATCGTATATCTCTCGCTCATAATCACGCCGCTGTCGTGACGAGAGAGGCTTTATACTATTAATCAGAAATCCATGAACAGTTGTGATATCAATCGGCTATTGTTCACGCTTGTTCGATCATCCACGGTTTATCCCGCATATGCGACACATCGCCATTCAAGTATGACGTCGAATGTGTGGGTATGCGTTTAATAGCGACGAAACATGTACCGAAACGCTGATGTCTCGTCTCTTTCTCTGATAACCGAGAATGGTTATTGGTAATCGCTTCGATTACCAATAACAACAAGGCAGTTCACATTTGTGCACTGCAGAAGCAGCAATAACAAGAATAATGAGACGCTATTGCGAAAAAAGGAAATAATATATTTGTGCAAATGCAGTTGTCTCCTTCATGTAAATTTCCATGCTCACTGACCGAACATAATACGCAATACCAATTTGTTTATTCTTTTACTTTTATAAGTACACGGAAAAAAATTTTGCTGAAGTAGCTGTAAAAATTCAGCTGGACAAAAATCTGCAAATAATTTTGTGGACCAGCGAAATAATCATGTACAAGAAATAATTATTTACAAAAATTCTAAATTTCCAATCATATTTAGATAATTTTCCAGTCATGTAATTTCCATGTAAAATTACATGAATTTTTTTCAATATAGGACGCTCGAATTTCCTAGAGTGGCAAAACTTTTAAGAGCACTGTGTTCATCATGTTTAAAATTCCTACATTTGAATGTTCCTATATTTTCCAACAATATTATTTTCAGGTCTAGTATATATCTAGCAAAATTTTTAAACACCAATAAATTTTTCTTTCCGTTTACTTATAAAACAGTTATTCTCTTCAATCTAAATTAATATTAAATAAAATACATAATTTATTTTGTTTTTATTCTTTCTTAATTTTTAATTTGGAAAAAACAAAGAGTCACAATTAAACTAGAGCTAAAAATAGCCGATACTAAAGAAATCAATATTGGAGGAATTGACTTAGAGAAGAATGTTAATAAGTAGTCAAAAATAGATTCTCTTCGATTTCCAGGTTTAAAAATATATTTATGACTAATTCTCGAATGACACTTCTGTCGAACTATCATTCATTTAATTCCGCTTAAACAAATGATAACACCAATTAAAGTTATCTTTTATTTATACTTAGTGTTTAATGAAAATTCGCAATTCCTAATCGCTTGTACTTAACTTGTACATCATCGACGAGGCAAATGCATAGCAGCACGATAAAAATAATTGTGAAGCTATAGAATCGGAATCGAACAACGACGTGTCTATATTATGCGGGCTTGCACATCACGATGCAGATTCTAAAAGCGCACACAACTACGTCCGTACATATCGACCATCAATGCGAAGTTTGTCGAACGCGTCGTTGACTTTACCAACACTTGAGAGGTTCTCACGATGTTGACGAGTTCCACGAGTTCAAACAATATACGCCGCTTGATGCATATTTCTCGCACGTGTGTGTTAACGGAGGTCGTGTCAGTTTGATGTACATGATCCCAATGGAATAGCAAAGATTACTACCTATCAGAAGGCTGACTTTTCCGTTTTAACTCGCGATAGCGCGGTGGTTTTCAATCGACAATCGTGAGAATATTAATGAGCGCGCGCAATGTGCTACTTTTCGCGATACCTAATGTCAGATTTCGCGAAAAGATTTCTCGAGATGTCGTGCGTTAAGAAGTACTGTGAAAGTAAATATACAGAAGCATTTACGAACTTCGTGATTCTCTGAACTAAAAAGTTATTTTTATTGCAAGCAAAAGTTGCGTTAAAATTTTGAAAACATGAAATTCACTTGAATCTAAATAATTAACACATTTAGATTCAAATCAGATTTATCATTTAATCGCAATATATGCGTTTGATTTATGAAAATTCTTTTCATTTTTGATCATTTGTAATTCCAGGCAATGTAAAAATTGCGTTATGACAAGTCAATCATTCGGAAAATCTGCGATTAAATTTAAGGAAAGTTCCGACGTATCACATGGATATACCTAACTGCAAGCACGTAACAAGCGTACACGTGTGGATGGAAACCTAGTGGATTAATAAAGCATAGTAGTTATTGAATAACATTTTAGCTCTTGTCTATATTAACCTGCATGTCCTCCAACTAGCCTATCCATTATGATCCTTCATAAAGGATACTTTGAAGATATGAGATTCCATTCCAATAGATTAATTTAATAACATTGCTATTAATCCATTATATCATATAATGTATATAAGAATTTGTTTGATACACAGTATATGTATATACTGATAAATCTAAAAAAATGTTCAATTACTTCAAATTATATTACTTAAAGTAATTGTTTTGACAACATCGCAAGAGAATACAAATGTATCATGTAATTAATGAGACGTATTATAAGAGTAAAATTAATTGAAGAAAATTGCGTTTTAATCATTATATGTAATAACTAATTAATACATTATATATAATTTCACCTACTTTTTGTGTATTTTATATCTAAAGATGATTATTGTATAAATAATAATATATAATAAATTAATAAATTTTTAATTTAATTTTTAATTTATTTTTGATTTATTTTTATTATACCTTTTATATATTTTATTATCTCTATTTATTTTTTGAATGTTTTTAAATTAAGTATAAAAATATTCCCATACCGCGTTAACTATATAATTTAACTTATTTTTCAGGAGAGGCTTTTGCTCAGCGTGTTACCAAGGCATGTCGCCATGGAGATGAAAGCCGATATAGCCGGAAAACCGAAGGACACGATGTTTCACAAAATTTATATTCAAAGACATGAGAACGTCAGGTATGTGATGCCAATGGTCCGCGAACGAATAGCAGCGATTTAAAACGCGCATCGTAAAAAGAAAGTGCCACTTTGGCATTTTGCAAATGAAACTTAACTTCGCTTTGTTATAAAGCTCAAAAGAATTTACATAATTATTTTATACATTATGTCCTCTATGCACTACTTAAACTGAAATTCATAGCAGATTAAACATCATAATCTTTGCTCGCGGCTTTTTACGCTATCGTAAAATTTGCATTTTTTTTGGATTTTAAACTCGTCGTAAAGTATCTCTACGTTTGATCAAACGCAGTCAGTGATGAATCACAAATCAGAAGCACGTACACAGAAAGAACAGTTTTACTGAAATTATTGAAGTATCTGAAAATTTAACTAGATACAGGTCTGAAAATAATTTTGTTGGATCATCAAAATAATTATATAGAACATTCAAATTGGTTGTTAGAATGTTAAAATTTTTCAACATGTGCTTGAATATCTCGCATAATTGTTTCGATTATCTAATAATAAAATTATTTTGAGATCTATAATATCTAGTAATATAGTAAATTTTTAGATACACTAAGGAAAAAAATTAGTCATTTAAATAAATTATTTAGTTGATTAAATTAATTTCTTTGACTTTATTTCTTTCGTTGAAAAATGTAGGTATTTAATTCTCGTTTTACAGCCCGTTTTTACGATATAAATTAACTTTAATCTTGATTTAACTTATTTCTTAATTTTTTATAGTTCTAAAAATTAAAAACAGGTCAAAAAGTAAATTAAATCGAAAAATTAAAATTAATCTATAATACATTGATAAAAATAAACATAAATCAAATATTTAACTTAAATAAAATACATTCTCCTTTAAATACATTCTCCTTCAAAAGAAATAAAGACGAGCTAAATTAATTTAGTCAACAATTTTTTTCTCGGTGTATCTTTTTCAGCAAAATCATTTTTTCCACTTCTTTTATATTTTAGTACAATTTACATCATTATTACAATATTGTATCATGAGATTATTATTAGATACAAATAATTATACAATATCGTGAGCACATTATGCAGTATGTATGAGATGATATGCTTGATCGTCTCATAATGCAGTAAGCAGCGCCAGCTGCTTCAAACTTGACGATTTATCACGGTACAGTGCACGCAATATGATAAGCACACGTGGTTGCATAGAGAGAATTCTGGATTGGTCTGAAGTGGGTTGAGATGTTACATCCAATCTCTCGTATCAGACGTCTCACCAAGCTCGGATCAATCTAACTTAATTCGCAATGAGCAAACATCATGTTCATTTAACTTTATAGAGTTTCAACGAACTTGACAATTTTTCGTCCCTAGTTTCCCCTTTCCTAAATGTTTAACGCGACATTTTCCCGTTTGAGGTAAAGTAATTGCAGAACTGTTGACAAAAGTGCTTATTTAGAAACTATTTATATCAAAAATTAATTTAAAAATTAACTTAATAACTGAAATAACTGACTTTATTATTAAATATTTCAGCATTTTGTTCGCCGATATTTGTGGCTTTACCTCGCTCTCCGATCAATGCACTGCCGAAGAGCTCGTCAGATTGCTCAACGAACTTTTTGCACGGTAAGAAATGATAATAAAATGAAAGAAATATTTTTAATACTAAATCCGTACAAAATGTAAAATCAAGATGGATAAAATTTTTAAAATATGATTGATAAATCTCAAGAAACTCCAAGCTATAAACCAAGCTATTTTATCACAATCATGCATTCAAATCCTCTTTTCTATTTTTATATACTTTATTCAGAAAACGTTTAGAAGCATAACGGATTATTGTGTCCGTGATATACATATATTTCCATCTGTCCGACTCGATCAAAATATAAATTTCTTTCAGTTTCCTTCTTTCATATACAATCCTGTTGTCTCTGATCTCTTGAGTCTTGCAAATATTCTTGTTCTTCCCACACAGAATCTTTTGTACACCAGCGAATACAAATCCCTTTTGAAATCTCGCGGATAGATGATGCTTTGTCAGTTTGACATCAGTTTAACATTAAAATGTATTTACATTTCTCAAACTACGTACACGTTATCGTAAAACTAAATTAACATATCAAAAATTTTTCTTGGTTTTTACTTACAGAAAGATAAAATTGAACTTCAATAATATAAAATATTTTTAAATTCGTAGAAAAACTATATTGATAAAATAATATTTTATGAACATAAAATCAATTTTTATATCTATATTTATTGAAGCTTCGCTTTTTATCTTTAATGAACATTATCAATCTGCTACGTTTGTATCAAGAGTTTCTAAACCCTCTTAACTTTTAAAGCTTTGCTCGTATTCCTTATGTTCTACCAACGCTCGAGTCTTTTGACAGCTACGGATCCGCGTCCCTAGTGACTTTTCGGGTCAATAGGGTGTACTTATCTTACTACCAAGAGGGATTTGCTAAGAGGTCATAAAGACCGCTTTCATTCCTCGCGATAATGCCAGCTTTCATATATCAGTACAGCCAAGATCACTTTCCGGGATTTTGCGAATTTAACACTTTCATCTCTATAAGAGAAGACAGAAATATCCCTTTCGAAAAAAATGCTCGAAAAAAAAATGAGAAACACAAAAACTCAACGTTTAAATATCGTTGAACTTTGTAAAAAATATAAGATGATAATTCTGTAATCTGAGATCATTAAAAAAATTTATATCGTATATATATATATATATATATATATACTGGAATTAAGCAAATTGAATTAACAAACTAACCATCGTAAGATATATTTGTCAAATATATGTGTGTAGTGCTTAAGTGAATTGATTTATGTAACACGACAATATTATAATATCATTATTAAAATAGACTACTATATTACCTCTCAAAGACTTAATGATAATGCGTTAATAATTGAATGATTTAATTACTATTTAAGTCATATGTACGCAACTCCATCGAGACTGTTATTTCCTACGTATCACTAAACTAGATTAACATAATACACGTTACGCGTTATGGGGATTTGGATACGCGTGAAATATTAATATCGCCCTTCTGGCGCTCTGAATTAATTTCGTATAATATGCACCGCGTGGAACGCGACGTTACTGAATATCTAATCTGAATAAACCGATTAGCTCACGGGTTATTAGTGTCCTTACTTTTGTTGACGCGTCATCTCTCTGTCGTTTCAAATTAATTTAACACCGTATCGCATTTACCGCACATAATTTTATTCAGTGTCAAAAAAGGATAGTAGTAGTAATAACATTAGATATTTAGTTAGAAATTCAATTAAAACTTTAGTAAAGAAAACCAATAACAAAGATGAAAAAATAGCATATGTAGCATGCCTATATTCTAGTAAATATTGGTAGATTAACATGCGGTGTTTACGTAACTCTCATTAAATTGGTGTTAATATTAATACTAAGATGTAAATTTAACATGTAGGTTTGAAAAGCCACTGTGATAGTATAAATACAGTTTTAAATGTTAAATCTACACCAAAACAGAGTATAAATATAGGAAAATATTACAAAAGTTGCATGGAGTTAGAGGAAAATAGCGAGTATTTCTATACTTAAATTATGTGTTACGAAACTGATTTCCGCGAAAGTAACTTTTATTGCAAAACCCAAAGCGTAATATTTCCACGAAAATTCCTTTCTGAGGCAAAACTCCAGTCTCAGTAGTTAGGTTTCTTCGATATCATAAATCATTGAATTTTCATAAATATTCCGCAGATTTGACAGGCTAGCTGCTGAGCACCACTGTCTCAGAATAAAGCTCCTTGGAGACTGTTATTATTGCGTTTCTGGACTTCCGGAACCACGGCCAGATCACGCTCACTGTTGTGTAGAAATGGGATTGGACATGATCGATGCCATAACGTAAGTACATTCTTTCATTTCTCATATAAGAACTTTGTCAAGCTTTTATTACATATTTTGTTATCAAAGAACAATATTATTATCTTATATACATGTTGCTTTTTAAAATCAATATATGTGATAATAAATAGCTAAAACATAATCGAGATCTATGTCACGATTCAAAATGTATCCACATTAAAACTATAAAATAGCAAAAAATAAATCTATTACATGTTCCATCAGCAACATTAAAGATCTATGTAATACTCCTTATCCTCATAGTTCGTTTGATAACGTACAAAGGAAACATAAAATAAAAATAACTGAAAATAGAATCTCAAAAGCTGCCGAGGGGAATAAAAATAGATAAATAAAAAGAAGAGAAAGGGAAATGAAAAAGGATAGGAAAGACATGAACTAGCAGATCAAAGTAACATCCGAGCAATAAAGATGCTTTCGTTTAGATCTACGAAACGACCACAGAACTTCCGATGGAGTTGTATCCGTGCGCTACATATCTCGTATTTTGGTTAGTTTCGTATTTTCATAAAATGCGTTTCGTCAAAGAGGAGATTTCCTTGGAGATCACGATATGTATGCTCACGACTGAGGTCGATTCGCATCGTTATGAAAGACTGGTATCTACAAGTCACTGCAAGCAAATGGATTCCTCACGCGTGTTTAAATTTCAATTCAATAATCTCGTCTTAAACTTCACCATATGTTTCTCCTAGTCGAACTTAACTTGTCGGGAAACTCCGCGATCGGAACAGTTGCCCGCAAATAACTATATAACTATATAATTTAATAAATTTAAATTTTCTGCGTTTCAATTTTCTGCGTTTTCCTTCAACATCGGCACGAACTTTCCGGACAACCCAATATTTATACGACAAATACGAATAAATGCGGAAACCAAATACTAAATAAAAAAATATTGAAGAGCAATCATTGTAACTGGAAGAGTAATTATTGTTATTAGCTAACTTTAATAAATTAATTTAAAAAAAGTCAACATTTATTTATTTATTATTTATAAATGTTTCCTTCTTATTTCCATTAATAACGAAAGTACTTCATAACTTTTCCAATACTTGAAGGCTTCAAATACCGAAGTAATCACTAAGTAGACTTAATGGCAAAAAAGTTTGCTTGTTTGTTGTCACAAACAACTTGAAAGATATAGTTATTCATCTGTTACATGGCCTAATGATAGGAGAAACAATAAATTCTCACGTCCGTACCTCCGTAGATTGGTTCGCGAGGTAATGGCCGTAAACGTGAATATGAGAGTTGGTATCCATACGGGCCGAGTTCATTGCGGAGTTCTCGGTCTGAGGAAATGGCAGTTTGATGTTTGGAGCAACGACGTGACTCTAGCCAATTACATGGAAAGCGGAGGTATACCCGGGTGAGTATAAACAATTTTGTTAGTTCTTGACTAACTTGTCCTTTTTACATTAGTCTCGATTGACAATAAATTACATCGATATACTGACATAATTTCTAGTTGCTTTATTTCAATTTGTATAAAACTTTTCGGTCCGTTAAGTACACAATCTTAAATAAAAAAACTATATCGCAAACAAATTGTTCTTGTTAAAAGATATTTTCTTAATATCGAATTATTATGACGAAGTTAATATTTAATCAAAAGTATAATGTTTCGCAGACGTGTGCACATCACGAAAGAAACTTTAGATTGCTTGGGCGAGTATTATGAAGTCGAGGAAGGTCGCGGGGGTGAGAGGAACGCGTACTTAAAAGATCATAATATTAGTACCTACTTGATTGTTCCCGGAGATACATTTAAGGGCAACATAACTAATTCTGGAATACGAAAAACTTTCCCGGCAAACAGTAATGTGTCCAAAGAAATGAGGGTTATGGGCCATGGTTCGCAACACGGAAAACAAACCAAGTAAGAGTTCCTATTAATAAGAGCTGCTTAATTTCTTAATCTTTGATATTAATAAATGTCACGATATTATAATCTTATTGCTTAAATAATGTCCAAAAATTGCCAACATTACGAAATATTCAAATGTTGAGGTAACTCCGGTATATACAAGCGTGCAAGATTTTAATATATTTCATTATAAATGTCAGATATAATATTAAAAAATTATAATAATTATTTGGAATAGGAGCAGTTTAAGGAAATTGTGTAAATTTCAAAATTCCACTCAACTTTTTTACATTTTCCCCTGACTTTTCCATGATCAATTTCAATTTCCCTGATTTCCCAATTTTTCCGGTTTTTCAGGTCTGTGACAACTATGTTCATAGTAAACGAACTATTGTATGTCAGTAAAAATTACTGCCTACTACTATGAAAAAAATATTATAAATCTGAAATATTTATTTTTTTATATTAAAAAATAAATTTTTTGAAATTCTTGCTTTTTTGCCGTATATCCCATAAGAGGAGCGGGGGAGGGGGAGGATATGTACGGCTCATGAAAAATTTACAAATAATGCATATAAATAAGATGTATAATGATACGTTAACTTATAAAATAATGTATTTATAAAGTTTTATTAAGGAATAAGAATAGCAAATATGTATATGAATAAATAATAATTACAATCTTCCCGTTCACTAAAAATTCCGTATATCCCAAATAGATAGGATATACAAGACAACAAATTAAACATAATACGAAAGCAAAGCACTTGTATTTTGCTACACAACATGCTTTACTATTCCTACACTTATATATCATGAAATAACCACTAACTCTTTTACACGTCCTACAGTAATCATTTTATGTAGATGTTGTAATTTATGATGGCGTTACTTATTACAGTGACAATTCAACTCACAATAATTTCATTAATATTAATAGCAAAAAGCTGAAATCAGAACACAATACTAATATAACATAAAGGCATAACAGAATAATTGCGAGAAAATTACCCCCCCCCCCCCCCCCCCCC